ATACACATTTGTCTTGAGCCTTTACCTCTGTTGCACTTAAGTGATCAGCTTATGATTTTGCTATGATATCCAAGTGCCAATGCAGTAGTATCAATTGATAAAACAGTTAAATGAGATTAATATTTAAAATATTCTAACAATCAACGACGCTTAAGGCCTGCTTTGGAGTTTTGGGGTATCGGTTGAGTTTTTAAAGTATCAAGTTTGAACATCTATGAGAAGTCCAATTTTGAGTAGTTTTTAGTAGCAGATTTTAAACAATCCAACACATGCTTTAGAATTTACTATCTAGCGATTCTTAAAAAAGAAATTAAACGAATAAAATTACATATATGCTCCATATATAAAAAAATGTCAAGGTATAAACAATATCGGTAATTTTTTTTTACTCAAAATTGATATTTTATTACACAAATCGACATTTTGTTACTCATAGTGCCTATCTCGGTGCAATTTTTTGGAAAAAAAAATCGATTTTTCCATCAACTCATCGGCGCCACCAGTGTTTGAGATAAAGTTGCTATTGTGCCAATTTGATTAAAGTACATGACTTTCAAATATCAAAAAGTTCATTCTACCTCTTTATGCAACTATGTGTGAAATCTTTATTTTTCAATTGAGGGCAAAATTGACAATTGTCCTCAACAATAAATAATGAGCGAGTGAGATATTATGGAATAAATTAATGATATTCCTTTTCTGCTACGGTTATTTTTTTGCTTCTAATTCGAATTTAATCGTTCCTAGACAGGCATAATTGATACTTTATAAGTATTTTTTTTGTAATAAGTTAATTTTTTAACTTAAAAATGAAATATATAATTATAATTAAATTTTTACTTATTAGAAATTTTTTACTTTAAATAAATTTTACATTAAGTTAAATAATTAATTTTTACACATCAGTACATATTTACTTGTAATTTTTATATTTTATAAATGATTTTTGTCTTATGGGATTTTTACTTATAATAACTTTTTATTTATAATAAATTTTTTTGTTTATAAGTAAATTTTTAGTTATTGTATTTTTATTTATAAGAAATTTAGTTTACCTATAATTGGGTTTTCGCCTCGTGAAATAATTGTTTTAGAGATGGTAAAATTAAATGAAAACTTGAAAAACTTTCAAAAGTCACTGTTTTTGTGGGTTGAGAAATACGACCTATATGACACTACAATGAGTTTAGTGATTTTTATGCCACCCAAAAAACTTATAATTACTGATTTTTCCAACCTCTTATAAATGATACCATCTAAAACGTCCAAATCAGTAGGGAATAAAAAATCACAAGCGGGCTCTTGAGATGATGCTTAGCACAACTAGAATACATAATGATAAGTGTAGTTTCTACACTTATTTGGAGTCCTAAATAATGATATTTTTATATTCTTTGGATGGATTAGGATCTAGTGTTTAGTAGGTAAAACTCGATGATTGCATGAAGAATTGAAAAAAAAAAAAAAGAATGGAAAATTGAAGAAAAATGATGAAATCCAAACTATGGGGACTAAAGTACAACAGTCCAAAAGTTGTGTCAGATTGCAAGACGTCGATTCAAGAATGTCAAGGGTCAATTGAAGATGAAGAGAAGCCAACAAGTTGAAAAAAATTGTCGAAAATGATCAAAATACACAATTGAAAAATTTCAGGAACTAATAAACAATTTGGTTAAAAAATAACAATATTGGAATCTATCGTGTGTACGTACCAAATGAACCATGCGTACGAGGAAAAAATTATGTTTCTTTATTTTGTTTTGTAAACTTTTGATATGCAATCTTTTGACACTCTTTATATATCATAAGCCATACAAAACGTGTGGAACCTCCTTAGACCTAAAAAATTCATAGATTCTAATCAATTTGGAGGTAAAGAACAAGGCTAATAACGTGGAATCAATGCAAATTGTATAGGATATTGAAAATTCTT